AGACCAACGTGATATGTTGACCGGAATATCACCCTGAAGGAATTTCTGCTAAGGTGTAATTGTTGCAGCCGGAACAAACGACCGATTTCTGGAGGGATGATGTTGTTGAAGCTATTGTCTTGGAGGTTTAACGTCCTGAGAAAGCTCAAGTTTCCAATGTGGGGAGATAGCTGACCATTCAGCCGGCTTGATTGGAGGTCCAGCACAGTGACTCTCTAGTGTCTGCGGCCACAAGCAATGCCTTGCCACTGACAGAAGTGAAGGGATTCATTCCAGGAGCTAAGAATGCCCAGTGGGTCGTTCACGATTTCGGCTTTAAATGCAAGCAAGGACTGTTTATCTGTCTCAATCCCTCTTAGATGTAAGGAGGATGAAGTGACCATCAGGAGAAACAGTTGCATGGTAATAGACCAGATGCTTGTAATGATACCTGAGAACCCCATTTACGTGCTCTGCGAAATAAAGCTCTGAGTTATGAACCAGAGAGGCTGAGTTTTTACAAAAAAACAACTTGCGTAAAATCTAGCCTTAGTTCTTCCTATTTATTTGGGTTGTGCTTGATCTGGTTCCCCATTGTTTTTTATATTATTCGGTTAGTGTCGGGGTCTCAGTGACAAGAACTGTCTGTGTAAGCCGGTTATTTTGTTCTATATGTTTGGATTTCAAGGCCAAATGGCGCAAAGATTTAAAAGAAATTGTCATAGTCATCACTTGATCTCGATTAATTAGAAATGTGGATATAAAAAACAAGGAAAATAAAGATCAACCCAAATAAATGTGACCACAAAGTGATCAAGGCCAAGTGACAAGAACTGCCTGTGTAAGCCGGCTAATTTGTTCTCTCCGGATTTTAAGGCCAAATGGCGCAAAGACCAGTCATGCCGGATACTGCAGAACTTGCTCTCAACCGCCGGGCTGGAGGTCAAAGAAAGGACAACGGTGAACTAATTATGTATGTCCGAAATAGAGATCTTCGGATGGGCAACATTGTATTGGGCTGAACTAATGAAAGCCCAATGGGCCTGCCTAAACCCAACTCAAAGCCCGCGGATATTTCTCCTGCGTAGTTTTTGCCTCTGCAAGCATTTCACTCGGCAGTTTCTTGCGTGTCAGTACATTTGACTCGATCATGGCCTCGTTCACTCAGCCCGAAGACGACTCCGTCCCGACCACCGTGTCAACTCGCCCGTTCGACGACGACGGTTATCTGGGTTACAACCCCCGACTCCCCTCCCAGCGATTCGACTCCTTAGTCGACACCGAGTCGCTCAAGGACTCTGCCACCGATTCCCCAATCTTCCACGGCTCCGCCGTAGGCGATGCTTTCGCCACTCAGCCTGCGTCGGAGGCCTTCTCTCCTCCTTCAATCTACGCCGAATCGAATGGACAGGACTTTGATGGAGGTTTTGGCGGGTCCGACGATCCGATTTTGCCGCCTCCGTCGGAGATGCTGCCTGAGGAGGGCTTCACTCTCAGAGAATGGAGGAGGTAGGGTTTCGAATTTCGATTGTTTGCGATTGAATAAATAGTTCTATATAGGAATTAAATTTTGACTCTTTTGTGCAATTCAGTTGAAAGTTCTTGGTTTTGATTTGGTTTGATCTTTCGGTTGCTCCAAAAATTGCATGCCTAGTGAGCAGTGATTATATTTCTGATATCAACTAGTTAAATTGAATGTTTATCAAAAAAAAAAAAAATATAGACTTGTTGAAATCTTTATGAATTTAACATGCCGATTGTTTGTATAAGAATGTGGGGCTCAATTCGAAGCGGAAAAGATTCGTGATTGTTGTCAATGTGTAGTTATTGACTATCAGAAAATGGTTTTATGTTTGCATAGAAGGTGGTGGAAAAATAAATGGTTGAATTCTGTGAGGTTGTAAGGGAGTTATCGTAATCCAAACTCTTGTGACATTCAGGCAGAATGCAATTCAGCTCGAGGAGAAGGAAAGGCGGGAAAAGGAGTTGTTGGTTCAGATAATCGAGGAAGCAGATGAATTCAAGGTGGGATTCTACCAGAAGAGGAAGATCACTACTGAAAACAACAAGGCTGCTAACAGGGAAAGGGAGAAGGTTAGATCAAATTAAACTTTCCGAAAAATATGATTAGCGCTATTTTTTTGTTTTCTGAGTAATAATGTGGTTGTCTTACCTCACTGCCTCAATTTTAAGTTTGGCATGCATATTAAGATCCTTTGAGCTGATACTGATAGTGTATTTATTTCATTCGTTCTTGAATTGCTGGTTCATTGAATAATTGATCGAAATTGGTGTTGAAGAAGAGCCACAAATTGTTAACACATAGATCCCCACGTCCACCTGACTTGGTTATAATTATCTGAATACAATTACGTGAAGTATATAATTGTCTTTTTCTAGGAATTTAGTGAAAGATCATAACTTTTACGTCCAATTTACTGAAAGATCATAACTTTTACTCCCTCCACTGGGACTTAGCGTATCTGAATACAATTACGTGATGGTCGCAACTGTTTAGGATTCGCTACATAAAACTCAGCTACAACGTTCCCTCATTAGGCTTCATTGTAAAACAAATATTACTAATACTGTATGTTTGGTCGGGTTAATGGTTTCTAAAATCTTTTTTTTTTTTTTTTTTTTGGGCTAAACATTTTGGAATTGAACTTTGTCATAACATTTTGGTTTTCTTCGCCTTTAATATCCATATCAATCTCTCTGCCATCTAACTTCTAAGGTATGAAGACGTACGAAGTTAAGATGCATTCCTAACAAATTGTTTTGAACTTGTGTTTTTGACTTTTCTTAGCTGTTCTTGGCTAACTAAGAGAAGTTTCATGCTGAGGTAGACAAGAACTACTGGAAGGCAATTGCGGACCTCATTTCCAATGATGTGCCGGCTATAGAGAAGAAGAGAGGGAAGGAGGATCAGGAAAAGAAGCCGTCCATTCTCGTTGTCCAAGGACCAAAGCCCGGAAAGCCAACCAAGCTTTCAAGGATGAGGCAGATACTTTTAAAGTTGAAGCACAATACCCCTCCCCACCTTAAGCCTTCACAACCGGCCCTAGCTCCCGCCAAGGATGCAAAACCGAGTACTTCTGCTCCCCCCAAGGCAGCAATTGTCGCAGCTACCCCCCGAGGCTGTAGTTGCTTCTTCGTAATTTGCCTGGCGTTCTTTGTTAGGCTTATTTCGTAGAAACTAAGTACTTCCATTACAAGGTTTCGAGGTTTGGAAATACAGTGTGGCCCAAGCCAGAGGGAAGAGTACCATGAAGTAGTTTTTCAAGCACCGAGATGATTGTAATAGAAGAGAGGTTGTATATGGAGGGAGGGATGGTACCATTCAAATTATTGGAACCCAAAGAAAGACTTTTTAAGCTATTCAACTGGCCGAGGCTATTTGGAATACCTCACTGCAGATTATTTTGTTGCAAAGATAGCATCTGAAGAGAAGAAAGATTTCCCAAAGAAGTTGGGATTTCCCCACTTAAACTGTTCCTGCCTAAATTAAGTACCTGAAGGTTGGACAAGAAGCCAATTTCAATATGAATCTTGCCACCAAGAATGTTATCGCCTAAGTCAAGGTAGCGGAGGTAATATCACCCCTGAAGGAATTGTTACCAAGGCGTAATTGTTGCAGCCGAACAAACGACCAATTTCTGGAGGGATCGATGTTGTTGTGGAAGCTATCGTGTTCGAGGTTTAATTTGCAACGATTCCCGCACTTGTTCGGTTGTTATGGTTGTGTTGGATAAGAGACGTCTCCGTGTGTGTAAGCAGCCCTCAGTGCTGCAGACCAAAACAAATTGACGCAAAGGCTTCAAGTTTGATGTTGAAAGAGTAATTTTAATTGCTTTTATCCCTCCTTGTAGTCAAAGACATCGCTTTCTTGCAATTCATTAGAAATTTTAGTTATCAGAGTCAGTAGAATCAACGCGGTTTTGCCAAAAAGTGTGATGACAAAGTCAATATAACAATCTTAGACACAAATGTTTTAAAGTAGCTTTGAAATATGAGCAACCAAGCCTAGTAACACACAAATTTTATCTCAAGACATCGGCAATCTCTTCCCACTCATCGGAGTTTTAAAATTGTGACTCATTACGCTACTCACCCAGAAAATCTTCCAAAAAATTACCCCTCGCTCACCCAATTTATTAATGGAACTTTTTAATGAAAATGACTTGACGTAACAAAAATTAGCCAACAATTCATATGTGTTTTCTTTTCTCTTAGGAAAATCTTCACAAACTCGAAATTGGCCAACAATTCGTGAATTACAGATTCTTGAAGAAAATGAAGAACAAAGCACACCACAACAAAAAGAATCAGAAAATGCAGCATGGAACCCAGAATTTATACTCTAAATCGAAAACTCTTAGTGATGTTAGGGAGCGAGAGAACGAATCATTTTCGGGTCCAACGAATAGTTCGATGAGTGTCCGCTGAAAATTTGTATAAACCCAAAATTTATAAATCATAGCTTGCTAGCTACTCATGTACAAGGCTATATCCCAGGGTAGCCTTGTACTTGGCTCCGCCCTGAATCCCCCTTGTTTTTAATTATATTCAGTTATTTTCGGGGTCTCATTGACAAGAACTCTGTGTGTAAGCCGGCTGTTTTGTTCTCTCTGTTTGGAATGGTGATAACAAGGTATTACTTAATACATTAGGCCATGATCAGCTGCAGCAATCAGCATTGCTGATGTCCGGCCGGTCGCTCTTCCAACAAAGCTAATTATACTCCGTACTAAGTGCTAGTTAGGCTGTGATCATATGCGCACTAGGCGTCCTAGTTCAAATTATCACAGGCCTTGGTCTCGTAATGAAAATCAAATGCTCCTTGATAGTTTTTATTCATATTTCTTACAGACAAATCTGCATATGCCAATGCCCACACGTTGGAGACTAAATTAGCCTTCGGAAATCGATCTGAATCTTCCGATACCACTAGAAAAATTTCTAGAAATGAGTTCGAAACCTAAGAAAGCTTAAGATTGTTATTAGTTTTGCCGGAGGACTCAGTCATGGATGCAGGACTTAAATTATGGAAATGAAAATATGAATAATTACATATTTTAATAAGAACATTAAACATGCAAAAAAAAAAAACAATTGCAACAAAAGAAAATTCAATTCCCTCGTTCAACTCCTCCCCGTCATCATTAAGAAGATCACCATGAAAAATAGAAGCACGTCATGGGATTCACTACGTCGGGGCCATGATCACAGATGCTCTCTAGGCCTCCTTGTTCCAGTTAGCACATCCCTTGTTAGACACAACTCAGTGACAACATTGCTTATGTCCTTTCGATCTCTCGGCATTGCTGCAGAACAAGCAACTCCTATTCTTGCAATGGAAGTCAAGCACTCCACAACCCTTTGTCTTTGATCATTTGGGACTTGATTCCCCCTATTACTTATGGGATTAGTACTGCTGCTGCTTTCTTCCATTTGAACAAGTAGTGGATCACATATTTCTTCCACACGTTCTGGTAGAGCCATCGTAACAAAATAGTGCAGGTCCATACCATCTTTAAACATGTTATCTGTTGGCCTCTTGCCTGTTAACATCTCCAACAACAGGATTCCGTAGCTATACATGTCGCCATATGTTGACACCTTGCTTCCCATTCCATACTCTTTAAGTTATATGCACAAAAACACAGCTAGGTTCTTATGTGTGACTTCAAAAACTCATGCTATAAACAGAAACATCGTCCAAGCATAAACAATATATGTGTATGTGTATTTATTTTCACAAAAACAGAGACATTTTTTTATGTATGCCTTCAGAATTTGATGCTAAAAATAAAAGAAATCTCCTTTGTGTGTATATATAGGTCACAAAAATTTACCTGGGGCTGTATAGCCTATGGAGCCTTTTATTGCATTGGAAGAGCTCTCGTGCACAGGAAATGGACAAGAAGCCTCTGGGAGGAACCTTGCCAAACCAAAATCACCAACACATGCAGTCATGTCACCATCCAAGAGAATGTTGCTTGGCTTTAAATCACAATGAACTATTGGCATGTGAGAGTGGTTGTGCAAATAATCCAGAGCACACGCTATGTCAATTGCAATGTTTACTCTCTGAATAAGATCCAGATTCTTTTGCAGATTGGTTGGATTGTCGCCCCGTTGAGCTGAATTATGTAGCCATTCTTCGAGACTTCCATTCACCATGAAGTCATAAACCAAAGCTTTGAAATCATTCCCTTGAAAATCGATGCTTGAACAGGCAGTCAGTAGCTTGACAAGATTTCGGTGCCTAATGGTTCTCAGAGCCTCACATTCAGCAATGAAACTTTTGGAAGCTCTTGCACTTTGAAGATTGAGTACTTTCACTGCAACAATTCTTCCTTCATACTGATCGAGTATTCCCTTATATACGGACCCAAAACTACCAGCACCAATCAAATTGGCTGCAGAGAACCCATCAGTTGCTTTAAGGAGATCTCTGTAGGACAACTTCAAAAGTGAAACCCCCAATGATGATCCTGAAGTTGACTTCACTCCTCTTGCTTTTCTTGATCGGTAAAGAATCACAAACAAAATCGCAAAACTCAATCCAACAACCCCACAACCAGCTGAGATAATTATTTTCAGCCTAGAAGATAAGCCTTGCTTAGAATGGTTGGAGACGCATTTGGGCAATCTTAAAGAAGGTATACCTCCACAAATCCGTGAGTTTCCAGTGACAGAAAGCGCACTTGTATTCTCGAAAACTCCTTTCATTGGTAATGCACCTTCAAAATCATTAAATGAGAGGTTCAAATTCACCAAGAAGCGGAAACTCTCCAAATAGCTGGGAATACTGCCAGACAAGTTGTTGCGAGAGAGGTCGAAATCCTCAATCCCTCTCAAAGAGCTCAAGGATTCAGGAATGGTCCCCTGCAATGAGTTTCCACTCAGATTCAGAGTCGCCAAACTTGTACAACTCCCTAAGCCTCGTGGAATCTCACCAGATAACCTATTGTCAGAAACATCCAAGGAAACTAGATGCATCAAGTTGCTTACCTCCATTGGTATGGATCCAGTAAGCTTGTTGCTGGATAGATCCAAAGTTACTGACAAGGATGCTAAACCAATAACTTCTTTAGGAATTTGACCGCGAAGATTATTTTGGGAAAGAAATAAAAGTAGAAGATTCTTGCATTCTCCGAGACTCTGCGGTATGTTGCCTTCTAACTTGTTTGACATGAGAATCAACCTGGTCATTGAAGTTAGATTTCCAATAGAAGATGGGATGATACCTGATAGTTTATTCTCGTTCATATACAGAGCATCCAGCCTTTTCAGTTTACCAATAGAACTTGGTATTGTGCCCGTCAATAGGTTTTCCTCAAAGGCTAGTACCTCCAAGTTCATTAGATTTCCGATTCCTATGGGAATTCTTCCGCGAATCTGGGTACGACCAAATAACATGGACTTGAGCTCTGTTGAGAGATTGCTGATGGATTCAGGTAGCACTCCTCCAAAACTATTGTAACTAAAAGCGAAGTACGTTAATTTGGTGCAATTAACTAGAGAAGAGATGAAATCCAAGTCACCTTCCTCATCATTTCCAAGATTGTTATTGGCAAGTGATAAAAAATGTAAATTTGACAGGCGTGCCAGACTAGGCACTTTTCCAGTAAACTCATTGAATGAGATTGAAAAAAGTGAAAGGTTTGAGGCATTGGAGATTGAATTTGGTATCGGTCCACTGAATTGGTTGATCTCGAAATAAAATTGTTGGAGGTTTGGAAATATAGTGTGGCCCAACCCAGGTGGAAGAGTTCCATGCAGTTCGTTTTGAAGCACAGAAATGAGTTTAATTGATGAGAGATTGTATATGGAGGGAGGGATGGTACCGTTCAAATAATTTTCACCCAATGAAAGATATGTTAGTCTTTTCAAATGGCCAAGGGTATTCGGAATAGCTCCACGCAAATTATTTTCTTGCACATCTAACCACCGGAGAGAAGAAAGATTTCCCAAAGAAGGTGGGATTTCCCCTCTTAAATTGTTACTTCTTAAAAACAGTTCCTGAAGCTTGGACAAGGAACCAATTTCAATTGGAATTTTACCCATAAGATGGTTTCCATTTATGAATAGTATTTGGAGGTTAGAGCAACGTGATATGTTGAATGGAATATCACCACTGAAGGAGTTGTTTTCAAGGAGTAGTTGTTGCAGACGGAACAAACGACCAATTTCTTGAGGGATGGTGTTGTTGAAGCTGTTGTTTTGGAGGTTTAAAGTTCTGAGAAAGCTCAAGTTTCCGATGTAGGGGGATAGCTGACCGTTCAGCCGACTTGATTGGAGGTCCAGCACGGTGACTCTCTGATGCCTACGACCACAAGTAATGCCTTGCCACCGACAGAAGTGGAGGGATTCATTCCATGAACTAAGAATGCCCAGTGTATCATTCACAATTTCAGCTTTAAATGCAAGCAAGGACTTTCTATCTGTCTCATTCCCTCCTAGATGTAAGGAGGATGAAGTAACCATCAGAAGAAACAGTTGCATGAGATTTAGCCAGATAATAATAATGATACCCGAAAACCCCATGTATGCGCTCTGCGAAATAAGGCTCGTGTCAAGAACCAGAGGCTGTTTATACATGAAAAAACCTTGCAAAAATTCTAGTCTTAGCTCAATGAGCCTAATACAGATACTCTGTCGCTCTCGATGATTCTGCGACAATTCCTGCTAGCAATGAGCTGTACAATGCGGACGTGTGCAATAGTTCACCAAGGAAAGCTTATCTTGTTGACTGGGGTAATATGGACCCTCCGGAAAGCTACGGAACACACTATGAGGGGTGCAATTTTTTTGCCTAATTATCGTGCCAACCATTTCGTACCGATTTTGTTGACTGGGTAATGCACCTTCAAAATCATTAAATGAGAGGTTCAAATTCACCAAGAAGCGGAAACTCTCCAAATAGCTGGGAATACTGCCAGACAAGTTGTTGCGAGAGAGGTCGAAATCCTCAATCCCTCTCAAAGAGCTCAAGGATTCAGGAATGGTCCCCTGCAATGAGTTTCCACTCAGATTCAGAGTCGCCAAACTTGTACAACTCCCTAAGCCTCGTGGAATCTCACCAGATAACCTATTGTCAGAAACATCCAAGGACAACTAGATGCATCAAGTTGCTTACCTCCATTGGTATGGATCCAGTAAGCTTGTTGCTGGATAGATCCAAAGTTTGTGACAAGGATGCTAAACCAATAACTTTGGGAAAGAACTAAAAGTAAAAGATTCCTGCATTCTCCGAGACTTTGTGGTATGTTGCCTTCTAACTTGTTTGACATGAGAATCAACCTCGTCAATGAAGTTAGATTTCCAAGAGAAGAAGGGATGGTACCTGATAGTTTATTCACGTTCAGATACAGAGAACCCAGCCTTTTCAGTTTACCAATAGAACTTGGTATTGTGCCTGTCAATAGGTTTCCCTCAAAGGCTAGTACCCCCAAGTTGATTAGATTTCCGATCGCAATGGGAATTCTTCCGCGGATCTGGTTACGACCAGATAACATTGACTTGAGCTCTGTTGAGAGATTGCTGATGGATTCAGGTAGCACTCCTCCAAAATTATTGTCATTAAATTGAAAGTACGTTAATTTGGTGCAATTAACTAGAGAAGAGATGAAATCCAAGTCACCTTCCTCATCATTTCCAAGATTGTTATCGGCAAGTATTAACGCATACAAATTTGATAGGCGTGCCAGACTAGGCACTTTTCCAGTAAACTCATTGGATGAGATTGAAAAAAATGAAAGGTATGAGGTATTGGAGATGGAATTTGGTATCGGTCCATTGAATTTGTTGGAGAAGAAATTAAAATTTTGGAGGTATGGAAATATAGCGTGGCCCAACCCAGGAGGAAGAGTTCCATGCAGTTCGTTTAGAGACACAGAAATGTGTGTAATTGATGAGAGGTTGTATATGGAGGGAGGGATGGAACTATTCAAATAATTTACAGCCACTGCAAGAAATTTTAATATTTTCAACTGGCCAAGGGTATTCGGAATAGCTCCACGCAAATTATTTTCTTGCACATCTAACGCCTGGAGAGAAGAAAGATTTCCCAAAGAAGGTGGGATTTCCCCGCTTAAATTGTTTCTTCTTAAAAACAGTACCTGAAGCTTGGACAAGGAACCAATTTCAATTGGAATTTTACCCATAAGATGGTTTCCAGCTATGCGAAGTATTTGGAGGTTAGAGCAACGTGATATGTTGAATGGAATATCACCACTGAAGGAGTTGTTGGCAAGGCGTAATTGTTGCAGGCGGAACAAACGACCAATTTATTGGGGGATGGTGTTGTTGAAGCTGTTGTTTTTGAGGTTTAAAGTTCTGAGAAAACTCAAGTTTCCAATGTGGGTAGATAGCTGACCGCTTAGCCGGCTTGATCGGAGGTCCAACACGATGACTCTCTGGTGTCGGCGGCCGCAAGAAATGCCTTGCCACTGACAGAAGTGAAGGGATTCATTCCAGGAGCTGAGAATGCCTAGTGGGTCGTTCACGATTTCAGCTTTAAATGCAAGCAAGGACTGTCTATCCGTCTCATTCCCTCCTAGACGCAAGGAGGATGAAGTGATCATCAGGAGAAACAGTTGCATGATAATACAACAGATGCTAATAATGAAACCTGAGAACCCCATGTGTACTTGCTGCGAAATAAAGCTCGAGTTGTGAACTTGCATAAAATCTAGCCTTAGTTCTTCCTATTTATTTGGGTTGTACTTGGTTCTGTTCCCCCTTGTTTTTTATTTTATTCGGCTTGTGTCGGGGTCTCAGTGACAAGAACTGTCTGTGGAAGCCGGCTGTCTTGTTCTATATGTTTGGATTTTAAGGCCAAATGGCGCAAAGACTTGAAAGAAATTATCATAGTCATCACTTGATCTCAATTAATTAGAAATTTAGATATAAAAAACAAGCAAAATAAAGTAATCGAGGTCAGGTGACAAGAACTGCCTGTCCTAGCCCGCTGTTTTGTTCTCTCTGGATTTTCAGGCCAAATGGCGCAAAGACGAGTCATGCGGGATCTGCATAACTTGCTCTCTCAACCGGCCTCGAGGTCAAAGAAGAGACAACGGTAAACTGATTATGTATGTTCGAAAGAGAGATCTTCAGTTATTTCTTGGCCAACATTGTGTTGGGCTGAACTAATGAAAGCCCAATGGGCCGGCCTAAGCCCAACTCAAATCCCGCGAATATTTCTCCTGCGTAGTTTTTCCCTCTGCGAGCATTTCGCTCGGCGGTTAAGAGCCACAAAGAGAGACATTGAGGGAGACGTTTCTTGCGTGTCAGTACATTTGACTCGATCATGGTCTCGTTCACTCAGCCCGAAGACGGCTCCGTCGATCGACGCCGAATCGAATGGACAGGGCTTTGATGGAGGTTTTGGCGGGTCCGATGATCCGATTTTGCCGCCTCCGTCGGATATGCTGCCTGAGGAGGGCTTCGCACTCAGAGAATGGAAGAGGTACGGTTTCGAATTTCGATTGATTGCGATTGAACCAATAGTTCTGTACAGCAATTAAATTTTGACTCTTTTGTACAATTCAGTTGAAAGTTCGTCGGAAAAAAAAAATATATAGACATGTTGAAATCTTCATGAGTTTATCGAAAAAAAATAAAATAAAATAAAATATAGACATGTTGAAAAAAAATAAAGTATAAGAATGTGGGGCTCAATTCGAAGCAGAAAAGATTCGTGATTGTTGTCAATGTGTAGTTATTGACTCTCAGAAAATGGTTTTATGTTTGCATAGGAGGTGGTGGAAAAATAAATGGTTGAATTCTGTGAGGTTGTAAGGGAGTTATTGTAATCCGAACTTTTGTGACATTCAGGCAGAATGCAATTCAGCTCGAGGAGAAGGTAAGGCAGGAAAAGGAGCTGTTTTGGTTCAGATAATCGAGGAAGCAGATGAATTCAAGGTGGGATTCTACCAGAAGAGGAAGATCACTACTGAAAATAACAAGGCTGCTAACAGGGAAAGGGAGAAGGTTAGATCAAATTAAACTTTCCGAAAAATATGATTAGCGCTATTTTTTGTTTTTAATAAGATCTTCTGAGTAATAATGTGGATGTCTTACCTCACTGCCTCAATTTTAAGTTTGGCATGCATATTAAGATCCTTTGAGCTGATACTGATAGTGTATTTATTTTATTTGTTCGTGAATTGCTGGTTCCTTGAATAATTGATCGAAATTGGTGTTGAATAAGAGCCACAAATTGTTGACACATAGCTCCCCACATGCACTCGACTTGGTTTTTCATAAATATACCGCGAGCTCATATCTTTTATTCCCTCTACTGGGACTTAACGTATCTGAATTCAATTAAGTGATGGTCACAACTGTTTAGGATTTGCTACATAAATCTCAGCTTCAACGTTTCCCGTTAGGCTTCATTGTAAAACAAATATTACTAATACTAGATGTTTGGTCGGGTTAATGGTTTCTGAAATCTAGATTTTTTTTTTCATTTTTTTATTTTATTTTTTTGGCTAAACATTTTGGAATTGAACTTTGTCATAACATTTTGAAGCAGAAGCAGGAATTCTGGTGATCACGGGAAAGGCGCTCTGGTTGCCGGATTAGTTGACTTCTTAACACCATGACAATTAGTTAACCTCTCAACACCATGACCAGAGGCAAAAAATAAATTATGCAGCAAACTTCCATGAATAAGACCATAAATTATGTTTTTGTTTATTTATTTGTATTCAAACTTCAAATTTCCATGCGGCTTTCTTTGAAACTGTTCTTACTGTTGACAGTTGACACACAGAACTCATAGATGACATGTTCTGTTGCTGTTGTGGTCCAAGAAAAGAAAAGGAGAAACTGATGATGCATGTTTGAAAGAAAGAATCTGAAAAAAAAAAAAAATGCAGTTAAGTTCAATTTCAGTTGAAAATTATTCTTGTTTATTCTAATTTTCGATACAATATTTTTCGTTTCTGTGAATTCTGGGAATGTAACTAATTACTCGAACAAAAGCAGAAGTTTCACGGGCTGATTAGGCCGTGATCATATGATTTATAGGAATTGAGGTTCCAGTTAGCACATCCCTAGCTAGGCATAATCCTTCTACAGCACGTCCAATATCCATCCGCTCTCTCGGCAAATCTGCGGAACAAGCAACTCCTAACTTGGCCATGACAACCAAGCACTTGCTAATTCTTTACCTTGAACCAATCAAATTGGCTGCAGAGAACCCAAAACTACCAGCACCAATCAAATTGGCTGCAGAGAACCCATCAGTTGCTTTGAGGAGATCACTGTAGGACAATTTCAAAAGTGAAACCACCAATGATGATCCTGAAGTTGACTTCACTCCTCTTGCTTTTCTTGATCGGTAAAGAATCACAAACAAAATCGATAAACTCAATCCAACAACCCCACAAGCAACTGAGATAATCATTTTAAGGTTTTGGTTTTCTTTTATCGGTTTTTCTACCGCTTCAGTAAATAGTCCAACTAGGTAGAGATTTGAGAAGTTGTGAAGTTTTAGAAGAGTTTACCTGGAGCAGCATAGCCAATGGTTCCCATTAGTCCAACTGTGCTACTTTGATTTAGAGAGGAGTCCGCGGTAGCTGAAATGAGTCTTGCTGACACAAAATCACCTACGCGAGCATTCATGTCATTGTCAAGAAGAATGTTGCTTGGCTTCGAGTCACAGTGAATGATTGGTTGTTCACAATGGTCATGGAGACAGTACAATGCAGAAGCCACATCAACTGCAATGTTCAATCTTTGGTGAAGGCTCAAAATCCTTTATTGGTTTTCTCTGTGCAGCCACTGCTCTAAACTTCCGTTTGACATGTATTCAAAAACCAGTGCTTTGAATTCGTTGCCACTGTAATCCGTGCTGGAGCAACATGTTAAGATCTTAACGAGATTCCTGTGCCGGATATTTCTTAGTGCGTTGCATTCTGCCATGAAACTCTTGGAAGCTCCTTTTTGTTGACGGTTGAGGACCTTTATAGCAACTACATTTTATTCATTTTCAAGAATCCCTTTATATACAGAGCCAAAACATCCTGATCCAATTAAAGCGTTTGAAATGAATCCGCTGGTAGCTCGATGAAGCGTTTCCTACGAAACCTTTGAAAGGAAGTTGATTGATAAGACTGCAGATGGTGGTTTCTTTTCCTGTTTTCTCCTCCAGTAAAGTGCAAGCAAGAATGAAAGCAGGATAGGATATCCCACCACTAAAGCAATTATAAGTTTTTGTTTGCGACCGAGGATCTTTCTAGGTTCTGATCCTTTGATGGGGCATGCTGGTAACTGAAATTCTGAGACACCACCACAAAGCTTTGTATTTCCAACCAATGATATTATGCTCGTGTTTTGAAAGGCGCCTTCTTTTGATACCTCACCATCCACATCATTGAAAGACAGGTTCATGTACAGCAAGAAAGGAAGTCTCTGTAGATCTTTTGGAATCTGTCCTGATAAGTTGTTTAGCGAAAGATCTAAACGCTGAAGACCACTCAAAGAAGCCAAAGAAGAAGGTATGATTCCTCGAAAGAGATTTCCTTGCAGGTAAAGAAACTCAAAGGCTCAGACAGTCTCCAATACTTTTTGGAATTACTCACCCCAACAGGCAGACTCCCAGTCAGTGAATTATGTGATAAATTGAGCAGGACAGAAAAGGAGGAAAGACCAATAACATGTGGTGGTATATCTCCCCTGAGGCTATTGTCTGAGATGTCCATATACTACAAATTTTTGCGGTTTCCAATGCTCGGTGGAATGCTTCCTTCTAATTTATTTTCTGATAAGTAGAATTGAAACATTTGAGTGAGGTTTCCTATGGAAGAAGGGATCTGTCCTGATAATCTATTTCCATCTAAAGACAGTATTTGCAGCTGTCGGAACTTCCCGAAAAAAGTAGGAATGATGCCGGTGAACAGGTTAGCCTGCATGCCTAAGACTTATCGAATTGTTGAGGTTTTCTAATGCTGCAGGAATATTTCCAGATATTTGATTGACTCCGGGGTAGAGTTTAGTGAGTTGGGTTGAAAGATTGGCCACAGAGTTGGGTAAAACACCTCCAAAATGACCACTGACAGAGTTGTTTACAAGGCGTAGTTGTTGCAGCTGGAACAAACGACCAATTTCTGGAGAGATGGTGTGGCTGAAGTTATTGTTTTGGAGGTTGAAGCCTCAGAAAGCTCAAGTTTCCAATGTGGGAGGACAGAGCCTTCCAATCGGCTTGATTGCAGGTTGAGCAGTGTAACTCTCGTGTCTGTCGCCGCAAGTAAGGCCTGGCCACTGACAGAAGTGGAGGGATGCATTCCAGGAGCTAAGGACGGCCATGCGATCAATCACAATTTCAGCTTTAGAGGCAAGCAAGGACAGCCTATCCACTTCTTCTCCTCCTAGACGTGAGCAGGGGGCAGAGGGAAAGGGAAAGAGTCGTATGAAAATAAACCTAGTACTAAGGAGGATGGGAACTCCATCAAGGAGGCCGCAAATGAAAGCTTAAGTTTTGAAGGAGAAATACATATACATGAACAGAAACAAAACATTAATTGCAGCAAATGTAGGTCTTGATGAAAGACATTGTAGGTTGACGCAAAGACTTTGAAAGTTGAAGAGCAGACAGGAGTAAACTCTGGAGTCCAAAATGGTTACTCAAAGACTTTGGTAATGTCGTGGGTCTCATTGTCGCCGCCTTCATGACTCATACTAATTTTTAGATATCATAATCTGTTAGAATATTAATTATAATTTGAATGAAAATTATTCGGCGGGAACAGTAGGGCCTCCAGATTCTTAACAAAACTCTAATCATTAAGATTGATTGCTGGCCGCATGATCTGCATTAACAGGCAGGATTACAGTTTTGGAAAGAATCCAGAGAGAGAGATTCGGGGAGAATCTGGATCCATGAAATGGTACAGGACCTTTCGGCTTGGCACATAACTCTTCTAGTGTTAATTGCTGTGAGGAAAATGTTACATGTTGGTTGAGCTGAACCCTTTTCATTGGAAAGGTATACACAATGCAAAACGTAGCTTTTTGCTGAACTGTACTTCAACAATTACCTTTCCTCCTCCTCACACGGCGATGCAGGAATTCTGGTGATTAAATTACGCAAGGCAGAGTGAAGTATCAAAATGCAGGTTATGAGTTGGCAGGAAGTACAATTCTTTGTTAAACATCATGGCCAAGGGTTCCGGGTTGCGAGACAATCAGTTGAATTCTTCACACCATGAATGAAGGGCAGAAAGAAATTATGCAGCAAACAGCCGAGAATATGACTATAAATTATGCTCATTCATACTAGTAAGAATATATGTTAATCTTGTATTTGTGTTCACACTTCAAATCCTTTGAAAGTGTTCTTACTGTTAACGCTTGACACAGAGAGCAAATAGATGACATGGTCTGTTGCTGTCGCTGTTGACTGGCGGTCGAAGAAAAGAAAAAGGAGAAAGTGATGATGCATGTTGGAAAGAAAGAAAGAAACAAAAAATGCAACTAAGAAGTTCAATTTTGAGTTGATAATTGTTACTTTTTGTTTCTGATTTTATTTGATGCTTACAATATTGTTCATGTCTGCAATTCTGCAAAGGTAACTCAGAGTCTAGAAAGCTTATGAAATAGGCCCGAATCCTTGATTCAGTGCTCGAACAAACTCAGTTGGATTGCATGCTGCTTAGGCCGTGATCATATGATTTCCAGGAATCCAGGTTCCAGTTAGTAAATCCCTTGCTAGGCATAGTCCGTCTACAACAAGTCCAATATCCATCCGCTCTCTCGGCAAATCTGCAGAACAAGCAACTCCTATCCTGGCCATGATAACCAAGCACTTCCTAACTCTTTGCCTTTGATCATCTTGGACCTGATTCCTATTGCTTGAGCCATTACTACGAGTGCTGCTTTCTTTTATTTGAAGAAGCACCGGATCACATATTTCTTCTACAAGTTCAGGCAAAGCTATCTGAACGAACTTGTGCAGGTTCAGACCATCTTTGAACATTTCATCTGTAGGCCTCTTTCCAGTAAGCATCTCCAACAACAGGATTCCGTAGCTATACACATCGCCATATGTTGAAACCTCGTTTCCCATTCCATACTCTACAGGTTTTCGTACAGAAGATAAAGTTAAAAATTGAAATAAAAAGAGAATTGTTCTCTTGTACATGTTAGAAAGAGGTTGAAACAACAATCCAACTTACCGGGGGCAATATAGCCTATGGAACCGTTAATGACATTTGCAGTGCTTCTGTGCGAAGGAAGTGAACATGAAGCATCTGGGAGGTACCTTGCTAAACCAAAATCAGCAACGCGAGCAGTCATGTCGCCTTCCAAGAGAACGTTGCTGGGTTTCAAATCACAATGAATTATTGGAACGTGAGAGTGGTTGTGCAAATAATTTAGAGCATTAGCCACGTCGATGGCAATGTTTACCCTCTGAACAAGTTTCAAATGGCCCTGCACGATGGGGGCCCCAGGTAGCCTATGAGCTGAAAAATGCAGCCACTCTTCAAGATTTCCATTCACCATGAATTCATATATCAAAGCTTTGAAATCATTTCCTTGAAAATCGATACTTGAACACACGGTCAGTAGCTTGACAAGATTCCGGTGCTTAATGTTTTTCAAGGCTTCACATTCAGCTGTAAAACTTTCTCTTGAACCTTGAACATTAAGCACTTTAACTGCAACAATTCTTTCTTCCTGATTGAGAATTCCCCTGTACACAGACCCGAAGCTACCAGCACCAATCAAATTCCGAGAAGAAAACCCATTTGTCGCTTTGAGGAGATCACCGTATGAAACTTTCAAGAGTGAAACCTCCCATGATGGTCCTGAAGTTGTCTTCGTTCTTGATTTTCTTGATAGATAAAGAAGTACACAGCGCAATGATTGTCTTGATGGATAAAGAAGCACAAAGCACAACAGGGAGACAACTCCAATAGCACTCCCACAGGCAATTGAGATAAGTACTTTTCGCCATGGAAATATTTCTTGCTTGGGTTTTTCGTCAGATTTTTTGGAGATGCATGGTGCCAACACTAGCTGAGATATACCTCCACATAGCCGTTTATTTCCAATAATAGAAAACGAAGTTGAATTCTGGAAAACTCCTTCTATCGGTACTGCACCTTCTAAATCATTGAATGATAGGTTCAAGTTCCGCAAGACGCGGAAACTCCCTAAATAGTTTGGAATTCTTCCAGTTAAGAAGTTGCGAGAAAGGTCTAAGTCTTCAACTCCTCGCAAAGAACTCCAAGCGTCAGGAATGGTCCCTCGCAAAAAATTTCTTTCCAAATGCAAACTTTCCAAACTTATGCAGTTTCCTATTGAGCTTGGAATCTCACCAGATAAACTGTTATTAGAAAGATCCAAGTAAGCAAGCTGCAACAAAAGACCTACTCTAAATGGAATGGAATGAGTAAAATAGTTGTGGGACAGATCCAAAAACTGTGACAGGGATGATAAACTGATGACTTCATCTGGAATGGGACCACTAAGATTATTTTGAGAAAGATTCAAAGCTTGCAAATTCCTGCATTCACCGAGACTTAGTGGTATGCTTCCTTGTAAGTTGTTTGACATGAGAAGTAAAATGCCTAACGAAGTTAGATTGCCTAGCATAACTGGGATAGTACCAAACAACTCATTGTGATTCAATGACAGACTAAAAATTTTATTCAGTTTACATATTGAGATTGGTATAGGGCCCCTCAATTGGTTTACCTCAAAGCCTAGTATCCCCAAGTTGATGAGATTTTCAATTCCTACAGGAATGCTTCCGCGTATCTGATTCCATCCCAATCTCATTACCTCGAGCTTTGTTGAGAGGTTGCTGAGAGATTCAGGTAGCACTCCTCCAAAATTATTGCCACTGATATCCAAACGCTCTAAGTTGGTGCAATTAACCAGAGAAGAAAGGAAGTCCAAGTCACCTTCCTCATTATTTCCAAGATTGTTAGCATCCATTTCCACCCGGAACAGATTGGACATCCTTGCCAGATTAGGCACTCTTCCAGTAAAAATATTGGCTGAGATACCAAATAATGCAAGGTTGGATGCATTGGAGATTGAAACTGGTATTTGTCCACTGAATCGGTTGAAATGAAAAGAAAAGGCTTGGAGGTTTGGAAATACAGTGTGGCCCAAGCCAGGGGGAAGAGTTCCATGGAGTAGGTTTTCAAGCACCGAGATGACTGTAATAGAAGAGAGGTTGTACATGGAGGGAGGGATGGTACCATTCAAAATATTGGAACCCAAAACAAGGTATTTTAAGTTATTCAACTGGCCAAGGCTATCTGGAATACCTCCCCGCAGAAAATTTTGTCGCACAGATAGCATCTGAAGAGAAGAAAGATTTCCCAAAGAAGGTGGGATTTCCCCATTTAAATTGTTACCGCGTAAATTAAGTACCTGAAGGTTGGACAGGAAGCCAATTTCATTATGAATATTGCCACCGAGAAGGTTATAGCCTAAGTCAAGGTAGCGGAGGTTAGAGCAACGTGATATGTTGACCGGAATATCACCGCTGAAGGAATTGTTACCAAGGCGTAATTGTTGCAGCCGGAACAAACGGCCAATTTCTGGAGGGATGTTGCTGTTGAAGCTATTGTTTTCGAGGTTTAATGTCCTGAGAAAGCTCAAGTTTCCAATGTTGGGAGATAGTAGACCTTCTAGTCGGCTTGATCGGAGGTCAAACACCGTGACTCTCTGGTGTCTGCGGCCGCAAGAAATGCCAGGCCATTCACAAAAGTGGAGGGATTCATTCCATGAGGCGAGGATGTCCATGCGATCACTCACAATTTCAGCTTTAAAGGCAAGCAAGGACAGTCTATCCACTTCATCTCCTCGCAGAGTTAAGGAGGACGAAGTGAGCATTAGGAGAAATAGTTGCATGAAAATTGACCAAACGCTAACAACAATACCTGGGAACCCCATTTAAGCCGCTAAATAAAGTTCCGGTGATGAAGCAGAAGCAGTGTTATACATGAAAGTAATTTGCAACGATTCCCGCAACTTCTTCGGTTGTTATGATTGTGTTGGTTCTCTGTCTGTGTAAGTGGCCCTCAGTGCTACAGACCAAAACAAGTTGACGCAGAGACTTCAAGTTTGATTGTGTTTGGATAACACATCGCTTTCTTGCAATTCATTAGAAATTTCGGATGTCAGAATCGTAGAATCAACGCGGTTTTGCCAAATAAGTGTGATGACTGAGTCAATACAACAACCATAGACACAAATGTTGTTGGTGGTGTAGTGCTCAAAAGCTTACCAAAGTTATATTGATCTATCAATTGAGAAAGAGATGGAGCTGTGGTGGTATGAAAAGGGACACAAAAAGGGAGGGATAAAGTGACTATCGAGTACAGTAGAGCAAGGGAAAAATATATTTCCTTTTCCTTTTCAATAAAAAAATTATATGAAAATCCACCACAATCTACTAAAATCTACAAGCTAAATCTATTCAAATTCATATGAATTTTGTAGGAGTCTTAAGTCCTTCTAAATCCTATCAAATTTATTATTTTTAAAATCCTTTAAAATCTTTTAAAATCTTAGTTTGACTACATCCTCTTAAAAATTTAATTATTGTTAAAGCTCCTTCCAACCAAGTCTAATCACACCCAAATTTTATCTCAAGACACCAGCAATCTCTTCCCACCCATAAAATTTTAGTTATTTTATGGGCTTCTATATCTACTTTATCAACTTCTGCTGGCATGAGATGATGAGATGATGTAGATGCGGAATAAAAGAAGCAAACCCATTTAGCACTGATTGAGTTCCCTCCTTTTAGATTTTTTATATTAATAAATTCATTATCGTAACTTTTAATTTCGATATCTTCTGCACTATATTACCCATCACCAAGTTCATATAATTTCGCGTGAGTGAAGGACGAAAGGATCCGACATACTGTGGGATGTCAGACGTAGGTGGCACCTCCTCCTCTGTCGTTATCGGTGATTGTGCAACAAACATATGAGATGTTACATCATATGTTATTATATAAAGAGTGGAATATGTGTTAAAAAATTAATAACTTAAAAAATAAAATTTCCCACAACTTACATAAAAACAGGTGGTATACTATCCCTGTTCCCACCACAACTAAAAATTTTTCCTGTACAACAGCACTGTCAATGCTGACGTGTCCAATGGTTCACCAAGGAAAGCTTATCCTGTTGACTGGAGTAATATGGACCATCCGGAAAGCTACGGAACACACTATCGCAATGGGACCCTGACTCTTCCGGTGAATGGCCTCTCGTTGTAAAAAAGCTGGTACGATCCACGTCAGGTCCCCCCTTGGGCCTTCAAAAATGCCAACGGACTACTAGATAGCCCACTTGCTTATAACTCAAACTCCAAAGGTAAATCTGGGCCGAGTGGGTTGCTAAGAATCATTGAGCTTGAGAATGGTGAGTCTTTGCCTGGCCCACCTCTCATGAATTCCACATCTCGGCCCATAGCACCTGAAGTTTCGATTTTCAGACCTCTGACAAGAAAATAAAAGCCACTCGGTCCTTTGTTGGCATACTTTCGCAGGCGGCTATTATCAATGGAAAGAAAATAAAAGCCACTCTAGATGGCTAGAGTGGAAGAAAGTTGGTTTTCATAGTAACAATAAAAAATAAATTTTGGTTATTTTTTGGGGAACATCGTCTATTAAAGCAAGTATGGCAAAATGAAGAAGGGGCCCACATAATATTGGGCTGAACTAATGAAAGCCCAATAAGCCGGTATAAGCCCACTTAGAGCCTGTCGATATTTCTCCAGCGCAGTTTCTACCACTGCGAGCATTTCGCTCTGGAGTTCAGAGCCACACGGAGAGAGTCGTTTCTTACGTGTCAGTGCATTTGACTTGATCATGCCCTCAATGACTCAGTCCCGACCACCGGTTCAACTCGCCCATTCGACGACGACGACGGTTATCTGGGTTACGACCTCCGACTCCCCTCCCAGCGATTCGACTCCTTCGTCGACACCGAGTCGCTCAAGGACTCCGCCACCGATTCCCTAATCTTCCACGGCTCCGCCGCAGGAGATGCTTTCGCCACTCAGCTGCGTCGGAGGCCTTCTCTCCTCCGTCGATCTACGCCGAATCGAATGGACAGGGCTTTGATGGAGGTTTTGGCGGGTCCGACGATCCGATTTTGCCGCCTCCGTCGGAGGTGCTGCCTGAGGAGGGCTTCGCTCTCAGAGGATGGAGGAGGTAGGGTTTCGAATTTCGATTGTTTGCGATTGAACCAATAGTTCTATATAGCAATTAAATTTAGACTCCTTTTGTGCAATTCAGTTGAAAGTTCTTGGTTTTGATTTGGTTTGATATTTCTTACAGACAAATCTGCCAGTGCCCACACGTTAAAAGACTAAACTAGCCATCTGAAATTGCTCCAATCTTCACTATAAAAAATTTCTAGAAACGACTTCGAAAACTGATTGTTATTAGTTTTGCTGGAGGACTCGGTCATGGATGCAGGACTTAAATTATGGTAATGCAAATAAGAAAAATTACATATTTAATAAGAACATTTAAACATACATAAAAACAATTGCAAAAAGTTCACTTCACTCGTTCCACTCCTCATCGTCATCATTAAGAATATCACAATGAAACATACAAGCACTGTCATGGGATTCACTAATTCGGCCGTGATCACAGATGCTCTCTAGGCCTTCTTGTTCCAGTTAGCACATCCCTTGTTAGACACAACTCAGTGACAACATTGCTTATGTCCTTTCGATCTCTCGGCATTGCTGCAGAACAAGCAACTCCTATTCTTGCAATGGAAGTCAAGCACTCCACAACCCTTTGTCTTTGATCATTTGGGACTTGATTCCCTCTTTTACTTATGGGATTAGTACTGCTGCTGCTTTCTTCTATTTGAACAAGTAGTGGATCACATATTTCTTCCACACGTTCTGGTAGAGCCATCGTAACAAAATATTGCAGGTCCATACCATCTTTAAACATGTTATCTGTCGGTCTCTTGCCTGTTAACATCTCCAACAACAGGATTCCATAGCTATACATGTCGCCATATGTTGACACCTTGCTTCCCATTCCATACTCTTTAAGTTATATGCACAAAAACACAGCTAGGTTCTTATGTGTGACTTCAAAAACTCATGCTATAAACAGAAACATCGTCCAAGCATAAACAATATAAGTGTGTGTGTATTTATTTTCACAAAAACACAAACATTTTTTTATGTATGACTTCAGAATTTAATGCTAAAAATAAAAGAAATCTCCTTTGCGTGTGTATATATATGTCACAAAAATTTACCTAGGGCAGTTTAGCCTATGGAGCCTTTTATTGCATTGGAAGAGCTCTCGTGCACAGGAAATGGACAAGAAGCCTCTGGGAGGAACCTTGCCAAACCAAAATCACCAACACATGCAGTCATGTCACCATCCAAGAGAATGTTGCTTGGCTTTAAATCACAATGAACTATTGGCATGTGAGAGTGGTTGTGCAAATAATCCAGAGCACAAGCTATGTCGATTGCAATGTTTACTCTCTGAATGAGATCCAGATTCTTCTGCAGATTGGGTGGATTGTCGCCCAGTTGAGCTGAATTAAGGGAGTTATCGTAATCCGAACTCTTGTGATATTCAGGCAGAATGCAATTCAGCTCGAGGAGAAGGAAAGGCGGGAAAAGGAGTTGTTGGTTCAGATAATCGAGGAAGCAGATGAATTCAAGGTGGGATTCTACCAGAAGAGGACGATCACTACTGAAAATAACAAGGCTGCTAACCGGGAAAGGGAGAAGGTTAGATCAAATTAAACTTTCCGAAAAATATGATTAGCGCTATTTTTTGTTTTTAATAAGATCTTCTGAGTAATAATGTGGTTGTCTTACCTCACTGCCTCAATTTTAAGTTTGGCATGCTATTAAGATCCCTTGAGCTGATACTGATAGTGTATTTATTTCATTTGTTCTTGAATTGCTGGTTCATTGAATAATTGATCGAAATTGGTGTTGAAGAAGAGCCACAAATTGTTAACACATAGATCCCCATGTCCATCTGACTTGATTTTCCAGGAATTTACTGAAAGATCATAACTTTTACTCCCTCCACTGGGACTTAGCATATCTGAATACAATTACGTGATGATCACAACTGTTTAGGATTCGCTACATAAAACTCAGCTACAACGTTTCCCCATTAGGCTTCATTGTAAAACAAAGATTACTAATACTGTATGTTTGGTCGGGTTAATGGTTTCTGAAATCTAGTTTTTTTTCGCCTTTGATAACCATATTGATCTCTCTGGCATCTAACTTCTAAGGTATGAAGACGTACGAAGTTAATATGCATTCCTAACAAATTGTTTTGAACTTGTATTTTTGACTTTCTCAGCTGTTCCTGGCTAACTAAGAGAAGTTTCATGCTGAGGTAGGCAAGAACTACTGGAAGGCAATTGCGGACCTCATTCCCAATGATATGCCGGCTATAGAGAGGAAGAGAGGGAAGGAGGATCAGGAAAAGAAGCCATCCATTCTCGTTGTCCAAGGACCAAAGCCTGGAAAGCCAACCGAGCTTTCAAGGATGAGGCAGATACTTTTAAAGTTGAAGCACAATACCCCTCCCCACCTTAAGCCTTCACCACCGGCCCCAGCTCCCGCCAAGGATGCAAAACCGAGTACTTCTGCTGCCCCCAAGGCAGCAATTGTCGCAGCTACCCCTGAGGTTGTAGTTGCTTCTTCGTAATTTGCCTGGCGTTCTTTGTTAGGCTTATTTCGTAGAAACTAAGTACTTCCATTACAAGGTTTCGAGGTTTGGAAATACAGTGTGGCCCAAGCCAGAGGGAAGAGTTCCATGAAGTAGTTTTTCAAGCACCGAGATGATTGTAATAGAGGGAGGGATGGTACCATTCAAATTACTGGAACCCAAAGAAAGATTTTTTAAGCTATTCAACTGGCCAAGGCTATTTGGAATACCTCCCTGCAGATTATTTTGTTGCAAAGATAGCATCTGAAGAGAAGAAAGATTTCCCAAAGAAGGTGGGATTTCCCCACTTAAACTGTTCCTGCCTAAATTAAGTACCTGAAGGTTGGACAAGAAGCCAATTTCAATATGAATCTTGCCACCATGAATGTTATCGCCTAAGTCACGG